AGTTGTAACAAAATAACCTCATGCAAATGTGTTCTATAGGACCCAACATGTTTCTTTCTACTGTAAAGGAAGGAAGTCTTTGTCACTTATGTGTTGACATCCTTTTTTAGCCCAGCAACATCTTCTAAGGCTTCTAGTAAAATGTGAATTTATCCTTCTCAGAAACCAACAGTATGTTGCTCTATTTATATATGTTTTCATTTTCATGATATTTATGAGTCCACTGATGCAAAAGATAGAGAAAATAAACTTTTTTTTCTCACCTGCCACCAATCAGCGTTCGTCTTCTTCAGGAGAATAAAGCGTTCACCTTCCCGTATGCAAACCTGCCGTCCGTCTGCTCCACGGTAGCTGTAGTCATACTGGGCCTCGAGGACCACTGTACCACTGGGGACTCCACACACCGTCATCCCCCTGGTGTTCGCTACAGATCCTGCAGCAGGCTGCTGATGACCGAAAGAGCGCCGCCAAGAACCAGAGAGCATGGCTTTCCCACAGTCCTGTTCAGCAAGCTTTGCTGGAAGTATGCTGGTCTGTGATTTGAGTCGGGACAGTGCAGGGTAGGCAAGACAGGAGCCAGGACTTTGCCATGCTCTGAAACAGGCACATGGACAGAGAAACACAGTGTGAGAGAGAGGGAGAGATTACCGAAGCTGGGAGAGAACAATGTAGAAATGTCACCTGGTGCTGTGCAGGTTCAAAGAGAGCGAATCTGAATCCTTTCAGAGCTAAAAATGGAAGTCTGCATTAAGCTGTCGAAAATCACCGAGCTATAAAAAAATCTCTATTTTAGAGTTGGCAGGGTTTTTCTCTTTGTGAAATTTCTCTTTCAAGTCATTTGATCCAATTGTCTTTTCTGTTTTACATCAATGTAAAATTTATATTTTTATATTTTGGAATTTGCATTGGTCCTAACATTAAGCAAGACTATTTTGACCTTTAGGCATTTATTGCATTTTTTATTTACTAACAACTGGCTTCTAATAATCCACCAACTGCACAAAAATAGCTCAGTGACGGCACGGATCACTGCAATAACATTCACAAACGAATAAAATAAACTTTTCTTTCCCACTTCCTATTTTGCTATATTTAGTAGACAAGCAGGAGGACGAAGTGCTGATATTTGTACACAACCACAGTGCACCACTTTTCTATTGTCCTTTCATCCTGTTAAAAGAGACCCATGTGAGTGAATAGCTCATGCGTATGGAAGATGTAAGGAGTGCAGTATACCTAAAATAGCATCTGTCTCCATCTCGCCACCTGAGCCAGCATCCCTAAGCTAAACCCTTGCTTTATGCAGCCAAGACCCACTTACATAAGAGAACATCTAACTTTCTGCCAGACACATAGAAATACAGCCTCACACACTGACAGTAAATACACCCACCATCCCTACAAGCAAATCTGCAAACACACGAGCGTGAACAGAAGGGGAACATCCCGAGCTACGTAGCAACAGTCAGACCTGCTGTACCTCACGTCACTGAGGATGGGAGAGTCCAGGGATGCTGGACAAGACAAGAGAAAGGAAAAGGTCTGGAAGCTGGGGATAAGCCAAATGATACAACAAGACCACACTGTTAGAGCTAGGTGAGAAAATAATAAAAGCAGAGTAGTAGAGGAATGGAAGAAGCTTAACAGAGCTGTGAGCTGATGTGAGGGTGGCCAGGGATAGCTGGCTGAACCTTGATAATCCGACTGTTATTAAAGCACGGGAAAGAATATGCAACCCCCCACGGCTATAGAGAATTGCAGTAAAACCCGTCTGTAGCAGCATATGGGTGGAAGAACTGCCTGCCTGGAAGACAGTCTGGCTAACACTAGCAGGAAGTGCACTGCAAGGCACACAGGAGCATTTCTCAGCATTTCCTCAAAATGTAATGAATGTGAATAAAAGCCATACCACGTTATGAATAGAATAACTAAAGAGACATCGGCTAACGTCCCTTTTGCACATTAGAAAAATGGGAAGCAATTTAAATTG